TTGTGTTAGACAACTTCCCCCAACTGTAGGCTAGTATAAGTGTTCTGAGTGTGTTTAAGGTAGGCTGTGACATTCAGTAGGTGTATTAAATGCATTTGTGATTTACAATATTTTCAACTTAAAATGGGCTTATTGGAATATAATCCCTTCATAAGTGGAGGAGCATCTGTATAGTGAGTTTCCTAAAAGCCTATGTCTCTATATCTAACTGAATTGTTTATCTACAAAAGGCATAGCACAGTGTTTTATATATAGTTAAGTGCTCCAGATAAGAAACAAAACACTGATACTTTTCCTATGAGGTGGTTGTGGTGAAGATTAAATAAATCCATTAGACTTTTGCTACTCCGAGTGGTATCAGCATCACCAGGGAGCTGGTTAGACATGTAGTCTCAGGGCCCATCCCAGACTTAGTGAATTAGAATCTGCAGTTTCACAAGATCCTCAGGTGATTCATAGTCTCATAAAAGTTTGAGAAGCACTGTTATATTGTAAGTTCCTTGAGGGCAGGGATTACGTGTGGCACATAGCATGTTCTCAGTAGTATTTTTTGTTGGAATAAATGAATGGTGCCACATAAGAAAGCATTGTGTAAACTTAAGTCTTACATACACAGGACTTTAAGTATAGGACTTTAAGTCCTATGTACACAGGATTGTGAAAGAACAGCAGTATAGATTTTGGGCTTAACTATAAAATCTTTTAGAGAAAGTTTGGACTGGCACTTACAGTTCTAGTTTACTTATTGAAGCAAGTACATTTATTTTTCTTATATCTGAGTGACAATTCCATAGGAAACCCAGTTTTTGATAGGAAATATAATAGTCCCTTAACTGAAATTGACTTTATAGTGAATTTATTAGCATGATAGTTAATTATGAAACTTCTGAAGATTGACAAAGAAAATTTATTCGGTTCCATTTTCTGTAAGAGATAAGACCTTGATGAACAACTAAGAAGCTGATGTCAGGCTTTAAGGGACAGGATTGGTAGATGTTGTATAGTTATTATCAACCTCTAACAAGGAAAACCCATCTAGTTTTCCACTTACAGTGTTCCAGCTTGAAATGCTTTAATTTATTCATTTAATCATTCTTCAAATCATCAAACATTTATCAAATTTGTCACTCTGTGATGAGTGCTGTGCCAGGACTTTCTGATGGATTGCCAGGTACAATATTCTTGAGGAGTTCCATATCAATACAATGACGATACCTTTTCAACCACATGGGCTAACGATAGGCTTTTTATGATTTATGAATTCACGAATGTTAAAGTCTTAAAATGCTATTAAAATTAAACCACATTGGTTATATATTTAGCAAGTCTATTGAAAAGGGTAAAGTTATCTTTTCCAGATAAATCCAATCTATATGGTTAACACTTACAGAATAGGAATTGCTTGTACTTAGGGTTGTTCAAGGAACATAAGAGGGGTATCCTGGCAATTTCCCATTTACACCTACAGGTCCATTTTTTACCCTATTTGTCTTGCATTTTACTGGAAGCTGAACTCTACAGACTGTGCCACACAAGCCCTCTGGTTTCTGGATTGGTCAATAGGAGGTACCAACAGAAGTTTGGAGGATGGGAAGAAAAGAGGACAAGTGTTTATTCCCCAGTCCTTTGCTGGGCCACATTTCGGCAGTGACTGTATTTCTTTATTTATAGTAACAGCCTTTGTCAGGCATCCCTTTCCGAGCTACAGCTCTTACAGGGTTCCACTAATAGCTCCCCTCGCCTGTTCCTTCAAGCTTAAGTTCTCCCATTGTTGCCAGTCCTTAAGTGCTTTACCATTCCTTGTTGGTTCCCTTAACCACTTCCATCCCTCTATAAATTATCCCTTTATTAAGCTCTCGTTACCTTCGTAGAGTGTGTCATCTTTAGTAATAAAAGAAGAGGCCATAAATCAGCTAGTATCTAAGGACTGCCTGCTGAGTTGGCACTGTTAAGACATATAATACATGATCTTGCTCTTGAGACACAGTCAGCCCAGTGAAGGAGATAAAACCAACACATGTGAAGCAATTAGGAAACACTACACATTGGTATCTAGTGAGACACTCCGTTTGTTTGCCTCTTACTAACCGTTCACCCTTCTTCTGACAACCATCGCCTGATTTTCCTCTTCTGTTACTTCAGTCAATGTCTTTTAGGTGGAGTAAACTTCATTTTCAAAAACATTAATGACATGAATCAGCTCTGAGCTACTGGATTCCTCTAGCCACATGTCCCAATCAGAGCCAATGAAATGTAAGAAGACTATTGCTGGCACCTGTGAGAAGGAGGCATGCACTCTTCCACTGAGATTGCTAACAGTAAGGATTATGTAAACTTGAGCTGTTAGCAGCCACCACATGGAGCCTAAAAATGAAGCCAACACAAGACAGAGTCAAGAGATGAAAAGAAATAGAATTCTAATGACATTGCTTAAGCCCTTGGATCAAACTATGCCTTAAGCTAAATACATAACTAGTTTTTCACTAAAATAGCTCTAACAATTCATAAAGTGGTACCAGGAGTGGGGATTAGTAACACAAAGATCCAGAAATGTTGAAGTAGTTGATTCAGATGAGGCCTCATTGGTATCAGGCTGGGACTTTAATAGCAAAGCAGTAGGTTAAACTGACACCTGTTGTATAGGGGGATTCAGAACATGTGCCTATCAAGGATAAAATGTAAAAGGGCCTGTTGTTAAAAGGTCAGATACTAAAATATATCAACTATTACTTGTTAGTTTTTAGTAATGTCCTATAAGAAAGACTCAAACTTAGGACTGAGATTGATTTATCTAAGGCAGAGAGGAAAAGATATCACTTTGCTACAAGTGAACATTTTTGCTTATAGGCTGCAATAAAAGATGACAGAAACATCAATAATCTGGAGCCATAAAGGGTTGAAAAAGCCCCAAGAGAATGTTAATGTTAATGAAAGCAAGAATGGATAAGATTGGCACTAGGGAGAAGTCTTAATACACTCAGGCCTCTTTCAAGCAATTCCTGCCTGCTGAGAAAGGTAATAGTTATTCAATTCTACTCCCTCCACCACCAGCTCACTCCCTCCCCTTGCATCACTCCCTCCCCTTGCAAACCCAGTGGCTATTGTTTCAAATTGTTATCAGGCAGAAACCAAAATAGAGGCCTTTAAGTTAGAATACCAGGGCCTATTACTAAAAGACAAAAATGCTCAGATGAAAATCTAGATTCGAAGACTGAAGCTTAAAAAAATCCTCTGGCTTTGGAATTTCCCCCCCCATGGAATTGGCCAGATGCAAATAGACTAGAAGTTTACTAAGAATTAAAGAAAACTGGGCCAGGCGCAGTGGCTTACGCCTGTAATCCCAGCACTTTGGGAGGCCGAGGCAGGCAGATCACCTGAGGTCAGGAGTTCAAGACCAGCCTGGCCAACATGGTGAAACCCCGTCTCTATTAAAAATACAAAAATTAGCCAGGTGTGGTGGCACATACCTGTAATCCCAGCTACTCAGGAAGCTGAGGTGGGAGAATCGCTTGAACGCAGGAAGTGGACATTGCATGAACCGAGATCACACCATTGCACTCCAGCCTGGGCAACAAGAGCGAGACTTTGTCTCAAAAAAAAAAAGAAAAAAGAAAAAAAAGAATTAAAGAAAATTGTACTGTGAGAGAAACCCTAAGTGTGGAGAACAAAGGCTCAGTTACTTAAGCTTAACACAATAGATATTTATTTTTCACTTTTGTAAAGTCCAACATCAGTGCCCCAAAGTAGCAGGTGGTCTTCTACAAAATCATTCAACTACCCAGACTCCTTCTATCTTATGGCTCTACTGTCCTCCAGGTCCTTAGAGACCTCTCGGTGCAGCCAGAAGAGGGAAAAAAAGACTGGCAAAGGCATACCTACTACTTAACCAAATTGGCTAGAAGTGGTACACATCACTTTCACTCATATTCCAGCAGAGATAGTCATGTGACTTCAGCAACATTAACAAGGAGGCTGGGAAATGTAGCCCCTGGCTAGGTAGCTAGTTCTCAGCAACAATTGTATACAACAGAAGAGCTTCACAACTCTTGGATGGTAAAAGCTAATTATCTTTGCCATAGGAAGTGATTTTTCAATTCCCACTAGATCGGGAAGGAGAATGCTGAAGAGGTGTAGTCCCTAAAGGATTCTCCTCCCCATTGTCCATTACAGACGTAACCATGGAGGAAATAATGAATGAGAGATCCTTCAAAAATAGAACATATGGCAGCCAGATTGGTTGATCAAAGAACTTTCTCCCCTCTCATGTTAGGAAGCCCTTGCTATCCCTGTCTAGTAAGATATGACATATGCTATGAATTGGACACATTTTGTGTTTGTCATTATTCGTATTTCCAAATAAGAGTTTTCATTGCAGTTGTTCTTTTTTTCTGTCATTATATATTAAGTATTTTCTAGTTAATTTTATCATATATCCTTAGGTTACTAGGCCATGAAGAACTTTATCAAATTGCTTTATGATAGAGAGGCATGCATATCACCTTACTATCCTGGACTTGGGAGTTATTTGTAGGACCTAGATGTGAGTACATTTTGGGTGGTAAAAAAAAAATGTCATTACACTGAGTAGCCATAGATATCAGTGAAGGCATATGTAGGGAAAGAATGTTTGGAGACCTCAATAAAATACCAGGGATGTGTGTGTGTCTGCTGTTTCCGTTACCCAGGACACATCTGCTCTTTTTCTGATAACCATACCCCTATTTTAAGTCAAATCATCTGTGCCATTCATGTGTTACTGATAGACGCAACTCCTGGGATGGGCTTGTGAATCAGTCCAGGCCAATCTGAGCATCTTATTCTTTTGGCAACACTGATTGGCTGACAAAAGAATGGGCGCTTGACCTTTGTTGGTAGTGAGGATGGTCTGGAGCTTCTGGTTGCTCATTTGTGGAATGAATGAAGCAAACAGCAGAGGAGAGTGCTAACATGTGGGGGAGAATCTGAATCTCTCTCTCTCTTTTTTTTTTTTTTTGAGACAGAGTCTTGCTCTGTCACCCAGGCCGGAGTGCAATGGTGCGATCTCAAGCTCACTGCAACCTCTGCACAGGTTCAAGTGGAGAATGTGAATCTTGATGATATAGTTGGAACTCTTCAGCCAAGCCATATCTAACAGAACTATCTTCAACTTTTCAGGTATGTGAGAATACATTCCCTTCTCACTTTACACCAATTTGGGTTGGATTTTATGTCACTTGTAACCAGTGGATCCTTACTGAATCAAATACTAAGTTATGTGAGGATAGATCCATAAACAAATACATATAGGAATGAGTGAATATAAATATACTTCTGGGGAAAACCTAACTAAAATGGAAGTGGTAGACTAAGGAGTGGTTCACAGGGTAGAAGGGAAATAGACTAGGGAAAGAGCTTGAAATTCAGTCAGGGCCGGGCACAGTGGCTCATGCCTGTAATCCCAGCACTCTGAGAAGCCGGGGCAGGTTGATCACTTGAGCCCAGGAGTTCAAGACTAGCCTGGGCAACATGGCAAAAACCTGTCTCTACAAAAAATAAAAAAAATTGCTGGGTGTGGTGGCACATGCCTGTGGTCCCAGTTACTCAGGAGGCTGAGATGGGAGGTTCACTTGAACACTGAGAGGTAGAGGCTGCAGTGCGCTGTGATCACACCATTGCACTCCAGCCTTTGCACCTAGGCAACAGAGTGAGACCCTGTCTCAAAAAAAAGAAAAATAAATTCAGTCAGAAGAGTTTAAATTTAACAAAATAGAAAATTTAGCCATAAAGGTGCTGAAGCACAAAGAGATGTGCTAAGAGTGAAGATTCAAAAGAATTATTCTGGCAGGTTAGATTGGAGTAGAGCAAGAAGGAAGTCAGAAAGGTTACATGGAAACTGCTGAACTAATCCTAGCTGGCAACATTTAAGGGCTTAGAGACCCTGAAGTAGAGACAGAGGAAGGGATTTGACATGAGGTATTTTAAAGGATAAATCGAAGGCCCTGAGATGACTGGTTAAAAGAAATAAAGGAAGGAATGGGTAAAAAATGACATCTATGTATTCAGCTTGGGTGGCAGAGATAGCAGTGGTATCAATGAGAAAGAAGGGAAGTGATTTTGGAAAGATGAGATTATGAGATTGGTTTTTGGACCTGTCGAAACCGGAAGATGGCAAGATGTCCAATTAAATACGTTGATGAGATAAAGAGGCAAATATACAAGTTGGGGGCAAAAAAGGTAACATTAAAGATAAGGATTTGCACAGAAGAAACACTTGAATCAATAGTTGTAGATGAGTACAAGAGGGTGAGAGAAAAGCAGAAATAAACACTGCTAGACCGGGAGGAAAAAAAATGGTGTCTCTGAATGAAATGAAATGTAGTGTCTGGTGGGGACACAGGAAGAATGTAGGACACTTTAGTGCATACAAAACTTAGAGAACTTTCAAATTATGTTAAAAGTAAATACCAAGCACGCACATACTCATTACCCCATCTCCAGCCTTATTTCCAATTGTTTTTCTGGCTTACTGCACGGCATTCACACTGGCCTGCTTTCTACTAATTCAAACTCACCAAACTGTCTCTGGCTGCAGAGCCTTTGCACTTGCTCTTCCTTCTGCACAGAAACTTCTCCCCACCCCCCACAACCCCAATGTTTGCTTGGCTTTCTACCTCATTTCATCCAGACCTCTGTTTAAACATAACTTCCGCAAAGAGGCCTTCTTCAATCAACTTATCTAAAATATAAAATAGTGTCCAACTCTCATCTGCATCCTTCTTTGTCCTTCTGCTCTGCTTTTTCTTCATAGCGCTTTTCCCTACATGACATTATACAATTGTGTATGATTGTAAATGTACTATCTCCCCCACTGGAGCAACTGTAATGAGGTTCCAAGAGTGCATTCGTTTTACTCACTGATGTATGTCTGATAAGTAGAACAGAGCCTGGCACAAACAAAGCCTTCAATAAGAGTTTCTTTCATGATGAATGAGTGAAATGCGGTAATTAAGATGAAAAGAAAAAAAATCACAAGAGGTCCGAGTCTAAGTCACAATTCCTAGAACATGCCTGTCATTTCACCCAAAAACTCTGCTTAAGGCTCTCACTCTGGCTGCATCTCCTCAAGGGGAAAGGAATTAAGGGAAGTTGGCTACTGCCAACGCAGGGACTTGGGATACGTTCCTGGATGATAGTGGTAAGAATGCTGTTTTCTCCAGAATTACTTCGTTAGTAAGAGATATGTCCAATTCCAGACTTCACAGACTTCACTTCTCCAGCTGAGCTCCAAGTGGAGCTTTGAGAGAAAAACAGAAGGGTGATGGCTGGAATACTCAAGGCTTCCAAAGTATTCCTCTCCTGAGTATCAGCAACCAGGTGAATCTCACAATGAGTATGACAACTTGGAAGGGGCAAGAGTCACGTGCTTGAGGGGAAAGGGCACCAGGGTGCAATCTCTGTTAATCCTTCTCTATACCCAGCTTCCCGCTGCGGCCTGTACAGAAACAAGCACGCAGGCACTTAAGGGGACAGTGGTTTCACCGCGTCCCTCCCGGCGGCGGCTCCCCACCTTTCCCTCCTCCCCACATGCCCCTCCCAGGCTGCAGGCTCAGCAGCCGACTTCCGCTGATCCGGGCTGGAGGGAGCCCAGAATCCAATTACTCTTCCCTAGGGAGCGCAATCCACCCGTCTGGCCGCAAAGAGCGGAGCCGGGGTCGGAGAGCCGCAGAGGCCGACCCTGCTCCGCCCGCCCCCACTTCCCGCCGCCCCAGCCTCAGGCTCGGCAACCAGGGTGGGGCAAGCAGAGCCACGAAGGGGCGCGCGGCACTGCCGCCGGGACTATTTGTCCTTCCGCGCGCGGCCCGGCACGGCGCGGCGAGAGGTCCGCGGCGCTGCAGCCCCGGCGCCGACGTCGGCCGGGCTGAGTGGCAGGAGATTAGCCAAGGGCTTCCCCCGCCGCGCGTCCTGGCCAATCGGCTCCGCGGGCGGTGCTCGAGGGACGCGCACACGCACTTTCCAGAATCCACGCCTCCCAGCAACAGCCTCCAGCCCCGCGACGCTGCCCTTCCGGCCCCTTCTCTCCGTCGGGCCTGCTCTGGCTGCGGGCCTGGACCCTGGCCTCTGGCCTGTGGGCTTTTGCGTGCTGCTCCCTAAAGTGACAGGGAAACGGGGCAAGAGGTCCAAGGGTTCCGTAGGAGAAGGAGACTTAGTATCTGTGGCTCTCCCACCGTCCCGGCTTCCCTAACCGACTGGGGAGTGAAGCTCTAGAGATGGATCTTTGGGAGGAAAAAACTGGACCTCCCTTCGGGTTCTTCAGAGTTTAGGTGAAGAACTCTTTCAGTACCATTGAGTGTTCTCTAGTAAGATGATCTTAGACTGATGGGTTTCTCGCTTGCTTTAAAGCTGTGGTCAGAGTACTTCATATATCCTTTCCTTTCTGCATCTGGGGGAAGGAAAAAAAAACAACACTTTTTACACATTGTCAGGCCGCAACGCAACTGACATACATGCTAGAAGGAGATGTTATATTATGCCTTGTGTCCTCTTTTGAATCACATTCTCCTGAGATGTGGCTGACCCTTAGGCCCATGGTGTTCTTGAATGTGATTGACATGCGTGTTTAGCAAGCTAGTGAGAGAGAACCAGGGAAATTGCTATCAAAACAATTACATACAGGGACATCAGAACAAAGGCTTGAGACCACTGGGGAATGAGGGACCATCCCAGTTCTGCAACGGATGCCCTCGGGGTTGGTGGCCAAGTCAGATCTTTGTGTCTTGCTTCTTCGTAGCATACTGAATAGAACTGTCTTCACCACGCTCACTATTTCAGTGTGTTATAAAAATAAGGTGAAAATGTTGAAGGTTTTGTTTCGGGTGGAGGGAAGGTGGTGCCGTTGAAAGGCACTCTCTGAAGGGAAGATTCTGTAAAAGGAAGCCATTTTATCTGCCTACAATTTGGTCATTTCAAAGAAATTCAATATACATGTGTTAAGACTATATGCTGAGTTGTGTGCTATGTGGTCTTCATAAGAGTTATAATCTAGTAAACCCAGCTAACTCCTGCATTCTCAGATGGTTTCCCATGTCTGTGCCAGTTTCCATCCCTAAATTCTGGCCATTTTAATTCCCTATTTCTGCTCAAAGGCTACAAAACATTGCTAGATACAGGTACAGAACGGTGCTGTGGTGGGAGCTCCCCAGTTGAGTGTAAACTGTGGCTGTAGTCCAGACGTGTGATGTATCTGTGGAACTGATGGCTGTAGAAGCCATTTGACTGGAGCGACTGAGGAGCCTCCTGGGACAGAACAATCTTTGAGGAAGAAGGAGCCAGACACACTGAGCTTGAGCTAGGAACAAAGACAAAGTCTTGGGAAGGGAGAGGTCCTTTTGTATTCAGCCTTGTGTCCTGACCCTTGTCTGAATCCTGTAGGAGTTGGGGAGGAGGAAGAAGATGGAAGGAGGCAGTAAGTGAAAACTGAAATACCTGTCAAACTTTTTAATTTCCAGATTTCACATTCATAACACATGCCCTCACTTCCTCCTTTAGTAGAAAAAAAAAATCAAGGTGTCAACAAAAGTGCAAACAACAGGAAACCTGACTAGAGGTGGAAATATGAAAAATATGGAATTTATTATCTCATAAAATAAGTTTGGAGAAAGGTGGTTCCAGTATTGGTTGGTCAAATAACTTAGGGAAGTTGTCCAGGATTGAAGTGGGATTCTTCTTTCTGCTCTTCCATCGTCACATGATAGTAATTTCTCCTGTCATGTCGCTTCATGGCTAAACGATAGCGTCTGCTTGTCTTGATGTCAAATACAGTCGGGCATCCAGCAAAGTAGCAAAGTATAGGGATACTATTTCTCTCTCTCCCTCTCTCTCTCTCTCTGCCTCCCTCCCTTCCTCCCTCTCACAGTAAAGGAAGGGAAACCCTTTTTAGAGGCTTCTAGCAGAACTGAGTCCCACTGGGCAGAATTGTGTCACACATGAATCCTAAACTGATTATTTGTAAGGGGGGTGACACTAATCGTAATCTACTCCTCATGCTGGGGAGAGAAATCACCCTTTGTGAACACATGGAAGGATATGATCAGAACAACATCAAATTTTGCCAGAAAAAAAGTGGCTATGGCTTAAGCCCCAACAAGTTCCTTAATTTTTCCTTTCCTCTACCTCAG